CCACTGGAACAGAATGTGTGGCCATAGAAACAAAGAAGAGAGGTGGTGGGAAAATTAGCCAAAAGCAACCTGTACATAGGAAGTCCATTGACACATTTGGGCAGAGAACTTCACAGTACAGAGGTGTCACAAGGTTCAACTTAAACCATCTCTTAATCCCATTTCTTCACTCTTGTTATGTTGATAGAAATTGTTTGTATTTCCATTTTTCATTACATTAACTCTGTATTCCTTCTCTGACTGTTATCCAAGTAACCCTTTTTCTCCAATTTGTTTCCACCAGACATAGATGGACTGGTAGATATGAGGCCCATCTTTGGGACAACAGTTGCAAGAAGGAAGGGCAAACCAGAAAAGGAAGGCAAGGTTGGTCAAAAAAAACAGTACCAGTCTTAGTAAATGTTTGGAAGTTTTTATGTTTTGCTGAAATTTTTGGTCCCTACCTGTTGGTGATATCTGACTTGTGCTATTAATTCTTACCTGTCATGTTTATGCTCCCGTTGGATGCCATTCAAATCAAATAATGCAGTTTATTTGGGTATGTCTTTTTCTCTGTAACAATAATGAGGAATTTTTTGTTTTAATCACTGGTTTGTTATTGATTTGCATTAATCATTTTCTCATTTGAACCACAGGAGGCTATGATATGGAAGAGAAAGCTGCAAGAGCTTATGATCTTGCCGCCCTTAAGTACTGGGGTTCTGCAACCCATATAAACTTTCCAGTAGGGTTCTCTACTCTTGGCAGTTTTTTTAGGTTTTTGAAAAAGGTTTTTTTAGTTCTTTTTCAAAGCTATTTTTAGTATCTGAAATTTCATCCTCTTGGTATTTTGGCAGTTGGAAAATTACACTGCACAACTTGAAGAGATGAAGAATATGAGCCGGCAGGAATATGTAGCGCATCTGAGAAGGTACATGTTCTTTATTTGTTATTTTCAGACTGTTTCTAATGCTTCTGAATTTTAAGAAGATTATTCATGAGTTTCTTTGATTTTCAGGAAAAGCAGTGGATTTTCAAGGGGGGCTTCAATGTACCGAGGAGTAACAAGGTTTGTCGATTTTTCCTTTGCCTTAAACACAAATTTAAGGTTCAAAATTCAAATGGTTACTTTATACTAATTTTAGATTTGTTTTCTCATCTTGGTTTTCTGCAGACATCACCAGCATGGGAGATGGCAAGCTAGGATTGGCAGGGTAGCAGGAAACAAAGACCTGTATCTTGGGACTTTTGGTAAATTCATGCATTGTTTGAACTCTCTTTATTCTTCATATGCATTATTTCCCATAGTTTAGGTCATTTTCTAAATTTCGTGAGGCTCTTACTGTAAGCACTTTTTCAAAGGACTCATTTTTTGTCACTCTGTTCTCACACTTTTTTAAGGCTGGTGGTGTCTGCTTTGGCACTGTAAGAAGGAACTTTTTTTAAGGCTGTGTTCTCTCAGAGAAGATAAAGAGGAAGAGAAGGCTATATTTTTTTTGTGAAGTTTAATTTTTTCATGCAAAGCTTTATAATTAATGTGAGTTTTGCACAACTTCTCACTTGAATTGAATTTCAGGTACCCAAGAGGAAGCTGCAGAAGCTTATGATATAGCTGCAATCAAGTTCCGCGGCGTAAATGCGGTCACCAACTTTGACATTACCAGATATGATGTTGAAAAAATCATGGCCAGCAATACCTTGCTTGCTGGAGAGTTTGCTAGGCGTACCAAAGAGATAGAACCTAACATAGAGGCCAATGCCATCGAATATAACCCATCAGCACAGAACAATGGGGAAGCCAACCAACCCGAAATCAACAATGGGAATGGTCTGGACTGGAAGATGGCCTTGTACCAATCTGCACAGGAACAACCAACTAGCTGTGTTCAAGCAGTTGATCAGAAATCGATTGGTTCATTGAACTATAGGCATCCCTCTTTCTCAATGGCATTGCAGGACCTTATTGGTGTTGAATCAGTGAACTCAAATCAGCCATTGATGGATGAGTCTGCTAAGGTTGGGGCACATTTCTCAAATCCATCCTCATTGGTGACCAGTTTGAGCAGCTCCAGAGAAGCTAGCCCTGACAAATCTGGCCCCAACATGCTCTTTGCAAAGCCACCATTAGCATCAAAGTTCATCTGCCCTACTTCTGCAGCAGCTGCTGCTGTTAGCTCTTGGTTCCCAACAGCCCAGCTGAGGCCTGCTGCTATCTCCATGTCTCACTTGCCTCTTTTTGCTGCTTGGAATGACACCTAGACAATTGGATGTGTTTTGTTGAAATGTATTAAAGTTTTTGCATGGACGAGAAAAAAGAGAGGAAGAAATTAATGATGTTAGGGGGGTAGAAAAAGGTGATGGTGATTATGTTATCTGAAGATAATTAGTGGAGGAAATTCAGGGTTAATGAAAAAGACAAGGGTAGGCCATGGGAGGCCAGTTGTCTGTTTGTAACCAAAGTAAGTGTAAGAAACTTTTTCCAAAACCAAACCTTTTGGCTCATATGGGGGATAATGAGGATCTTGCAATATGGGGAGAAGGGGATTAAGGGCTGATTAATGATTTAAATTATGCTTAATGATGTGAGCAATATTATACAAGTGGCCCTTCCATAATTGAATTTGCTTTTAAACATTGATAGGTTCCTCCTCCAAAGTACAAAACCAGCTCATTGTTTTCCAATAATTCAAAAAGGGGTTATCTTGCTTTGACTCAACTATCTCATCTGTGTTCCTCAATCTGCATAACATCATCATTGCAATCCCTTCCTTTTTCTTATTTGAGCTTTTCCTGAAAGGCAGCAAACAAACATTCCCACTGCATTATTCAAGAAAAGGGGATGGGAAGAGATTCTTTGATATGGAGACTTTAGTTTGGCTTATTTTATGGTTTAATGGTCATAATTAGGTTCTACTTTGTCTCCTATTTCTTTTCGCAAAAGCAAAGTTAGGGCTAAAAATTTCTTTGGCTTTTGTAATTCCACTAATCCATAGAGATATTGGATCTAAAAGCTATTCCATGTCGTGGTGTGAAATGTTGATGTGGTTTAAAAAAAAAAAAAAAACTGACATGATTGAGATCATTCACCACACGTTTACGGTGCTTGGTTTCTTGCCATTCACGTGTGACATCAATTGCAATCTTGACCATTTTGGTGTTTATGTGATAAGAGGACAACGAGGAATTGGTGCCAGAAAAGCTGGAAGCTAAGCCAAATAAAGTTAGAATTAGTGCATTTTCCACATCTTTACTTGGAAGCACAAATTGCCAGCGATATTCTTAGGCATAACGAGTTGCATACGATAATGCGTCTATCTCTCATAATAACGTAACTAGTTGTACACAAGAATATGTAATGTATCTATTTAAGGTCAGTTGACTAGTTACGTAATGAGAGAGATAAACACATAATTATATACAACTGTAGTGTTAATGTTTGCACTCTTGAACTTTTTGAAATGCTGCTAATTATACAAAAAAGCAATCGGTGGAAATCCTTGGACGAATTAACAAAACATTGAAGAAAATAAAACGTACATGATTAGACATGAAAAGGAAGGCATTGCAAGAGGGAAACAACTGAGTCTGAGTTCTATTAAAAATAATAATTTTATAAAAAAAAACCAGAAAATGACTACTGAGTTCAATGGTCAAAAAGATTGAAAGCTTGTGTTGTGGAAAAAGATTGCAAAGCAAACAGGGCACTCGTTATTTTTAACAAAAAAGTAAGCATCAATCATCACAATTTTCTTCAACCTTGTTTGAGTTTAGTCAACAAATATGATTACCCGTTTGTTGTATACAGGTTGGATTAGGGGAAAACAAGTCAAGTAAGACAGTTAGAGAAAAATAAAGTAATTTTCTGTTCATCTAGCTGCGCACGAGCTGGATCCTTGCAGCTCATCATCATCATCATATATATATATATATAAAAGTTATAAATCAGTATATATTTTTTGTTTAAGGAAGTGTCACAATTTAAGAAATTGCACATGGAAATTTGAAGAGAGAAAGTACATGGTACGAAGATAATATTGAAGGTGAAACCATGTGAATGTGATCCAGTTAGGTAAATAAGGTTCAACAACGAAGATGTGTTCAGATGCAAACCATATATGTATATATAAATATAACAAAAACAGTTGGTTGAAATCTTGTCTGCCATGGGGCCAAGCCAATGGGTAAAAACTTCTACTGAGTCACAGAGGCTTCAAGGACTTTGTTGTCAACATACAGTGACAACAATATATCTAGCACAGTGTTCTAACATGAACGCTAAAAAATAAACAAAAAGAAGAAAACACGTACGCTGCACAAACCATATGGGAAATTTTATTGAATTTTGCAACCAACCCTTCCAAATTTTTTTTATAAAAAAAATTCGATGCAATTTTATCTTAATAAAATTGGAATTTGGGACATATAGATAGCATTGTTTTGATATCCCCAATTAATCATAAATTGTCACGTGAAAACGTTATCGTGTGTGACATGTTGTGATTGGCCGGATATAACAAAATAGTGTTATTCCCATTTCACACAAGTGTTTCGGTGGTGGCCTGAGAGAAAGATACCCAAAGCAGTTTTAGATATGGGCTATGTCATCCAAAACATGTAGGTACATGTATCTGTATGTATAAAGATAAAATTGTACATGTATCTGTATATATAAACAAGTAAATGGACCCATAGGTTTAGGGTTTGATATAAAACTCTGGTGTGTATATATACATAGTTGCAGCAGGTTACAGCTCACTGGATGGTGACCCATCTCTCAGGTGCTGTGATTGTCCAATAAGAGTGACAATATTGTGACTGAAAAAGAAGGACCCTGCCAAACGATTTTTGCTAATAATTGATTTGATGGGATAAAAATAGTCAATAGTTGATGCTCATTGCTCCCTCTCAAGGGCTCCTGTTTCTCCCAAGGAGACTTTGTGGTTTATTTCTTTTCTTTGCCCAACTTCACACAACACAAGGAACACTGAACTCTCTCCCTCCCCTGCTGCATGGCCTTGGTTTCTGGTTTTTGGTTCTTGGGTTTTTGGTTTGGACCACAATCTATCTATCTATCTAGTATTTTTCAACTTTCTAGTTGTTTGATTGTCAATTTGGGACCAGCCCAGAGAGTGTTCCCAGATCCCAACATCATGTGATCTTCATTAGCTTACAAGAGAGATGCCATGCCAACTTAGGACAGATCATAAAAGAAATAAAAGAAAAATTCAAATTTAAGAGAGTAGATGAACATGAAGCCTATTGATGTCCTTTATCTTCATGTTGGTCCACAGCTCATAGCCTCAGAGCTTTTGGAATTCCATACATTACTGAAACTTTCCCTCTTTAAGCTATCTGGTTATCAATGGCCTTAATGTATTTATGATTTTTAATGTTTGCCTCAACAAACAAACTTTAGAAACACTTGCACGAAACGGAAATATCACTATTTTTCTATTTTTAATTAATAACGACATACCACTTACAATAAATTTTCTACGTGACAGTCTGTTATTGATTAAGAATAACAAAACACTATCAATGTTTCATACAAGTTTTTCCACTACAAACAAACCCCCTACTATTGAACTATAGACTATATAGACAGGAGAGTCAAAATAGCTGGACCCCTGAGAGAGAAACAGATCAAATTGGAACAAAATCCAAGATAATACCTTACCAGTGTTCTTCAATTTGGTTCTGCATTTTCAAATTTTTTGCAGGGGTCCCATTGATTTCAGACACGTACGCTTCTCAGGTCCTGTAACATTAATGGTGGCATTCTAACCAACAACAAAAAGGAAAAGAAAAGAAAAATAAAAAACAGGGATGGTTGCATTGTCATTGTCACAGTATCACCACCATCACTTCCTTATGGTTTGTTGCTTGTTCAATTGTTTTATTCTCTGGTTTTATCTACTCAGTTTCTGAACCCTCCCTGAAACACTTTTTACTCACCAGCAAATAAAGCTTCCTGTTTTACTGATTTCTGCTGCAGATAACAGTAATTTTTTTTCATATTCTTTTATATATATATAATATTTTCAATGAAAGTTTAATGAATTCTAGATGCATGCGACAAGGAGGCTAAATTAGCTGACATTAACCCTCAACACCTTTTATTTGAGACCACATATATTGCTGTCTCTGTTGGGGTATAATTTTGAGGCCCATTAGACCCAAGAAAACCAAGGTCTAGACCTACTCTAATGGCTAAAAACCTTGAGAGCCGGCCCTCCTTCCTTTCTTCTTTTTTTCTGGGTCAGGCACCCAGTCCTAAGATTGGGCTAAACTAAATTACTTCAGCTCCCCAGCTCCAATTTTATGACCTGGGCCGATTTAGAAATAATTCCTAGAACCCTATAGATTGGGCTGTTATATGAAAGTAATGGCTTTGTTTCTGATGACTGTTAAACAACTGGCCCACAACTATGACCTAAAACGACGTAATTCTATACATAAACACAGTACAAGTACCGTAACACACAAGTAGAGAAGAAAAGAAGAGCTTGCCATACATACCGTAAAACACACCACCATACATACGTAAGGTGGTGTGTTTATATTCATGAAAATTTTATAAAAGCAAAGAAAAGGTTGGATTTGTATATGGAATCATAACATTTGGCAGCCGCCCGAACCTAACAAGAACCACTTCTGATGTACCTAAACCCTGACATGCTCAAGTGCTACAGGGGTTTTGAAAATTATTGAAATTGTGAAATTGGGTTTGTTGGGTTTTGAAAATGATTGAAATTGTGGAATTAGGTCCGTTGGGTTATAAAAAGTAGTGGAATTTTTGGAATTGGGTTTTTGAGGTTTTCTAAAATATTGAATTTATGAAATTGGAATTGTGTGATTTTGAAAAATGTTGAATATGTGGAATCGGGATTGCGTGGTTTTGAAGTTTTGAAGAATGTTGAATATGTGGCTGGTGGTGAGGTGAGGAGGGGAGGTCGGTTCGTGGTGTCGGGTGGGTGTTCTGGTTGTTGTTTGTTGGGCTTCTTTTTTTTCCTTTATTATTATTTTTTACTTAAAGAGTGTTAACTTAGAGTTAAGTGAGTGTCCAGTTGTCAACAATTAGCTAAGGGATAGAGAAGTCAATTTACAAATGAGTACATTTGTTTTAAAAGTTTTAAAGATAAAGTGAGTGAGGAAATAGGAGAGGTGGGTGGAAATAACAGCACTTTATGTGAAATTGCAAGAAAATCCCATAAAATTAGAAAACAAAAAGGAAACTCTATGACAGTCTTTAGGAAAGAACAGGATGAATCTCTCAGTAGAATTTTGGTTGTAGTTCAACCAAATGAAGCAATGGGGGCATCTTAGCACAAAATGTGCAGGTGAAGCCAGTAAAAAAGGTGATACATATATTCTATCTGTTTATCTGTCAAGAATTGTGATATTCCATAATTCACATGGGGAATATAAATTTAGAGAGATGAAAAGAGTCAAGACCAAGACCTATAGCTACAGAGCTCTCCTGATAGATA